ACACTTACCCTTTACAGGTTTCTGATTGACCTGCGACCTCTTTTTGTTTCCAAATGTATACATAAAGCCACATTATCACCCTTCACATATGTCTAAACCTTGTTTAATTTAGAATCTCTCACAATGTGTCTGGCTTTTAAGTGATAATAGACACACTGGTGGTACACTCACCTTAAAAAGCTTCAAAGCTTTGTTGATTTCAAACCAGGTTCTATATTCTGCAGGTTTAATATGTTCTTCGAAAACTCTGATCGTGCTCTCTTCAGATTTACTCGTAGATTGTTGCATGTTGCAAACATGAACGTGAAAGACATTGTTTTTTCCAGATTTCTACATATTAAGTCAGCAACAATAGCGGCAACAAAAAAATGAACTGAAAACAACAGCTTCTGCCACCCAAACATGTTCATGTGCATAATTTCCAAAACTTCTTCACAGTAGTATTTCGTAAACAGCTGGAAACAACTAAATACTGTAACCACGCATGAATGCAACGTATAAAGCAATTGCAATGAAATGAATGAACTGACCTGGTGGTGAAAAAATTTTGAAACAAACAAAATAACTAATTTTAACAACAACGGAAACAAAAATGAGGTGAAATGCAACGTTTGTGAACAATTCGCATCAAGATAAGTTGTGAATAACCGCAGGATAAACGTAAAAGCCAATGTGTAAACGAACGGTTAGGGAACGGCAGTCCGACACTGCAGACTGACATGGACGAAAATGCCCGTCAAGTGTCTAACTCTCTTAATGACCTTGAGCGTGTGGGATAATTTCAGTCATCTTGACAGAAAGAACTAAAGAAAACAAGATGCAGTGTATTGGATGGAAAATGAAGTAGCTCATTGGTTCAGGCAGGCCGCCGTATTCAGGTTTCGTTATTTCCTTGGAACCTGTAGGTATTCACCACTGACCTGGGCTTCCTGCTGGTGGGGAAGACAGTAATTCTATATTTTTTAAATGTACTGCATTCACTATTTAATAAATAGAATATTGTAATTTCAAAATGAACCAAGCTCGTGTAATTTAAATAATAAATTCGTTATGCTTGTATAATTTGTGTTCACCTTACCTAGTGGCCGAGCTGATCTTAACACCTCCGCTGTCTGAGGGAGTACATAACACTTACGGCTGCTGAGAAGTGTATATTTATTGACAATGATTTGAAAAGAGTGTTGTGATACAAAATTACACCACGATGAATCTGCCGAGCTCTTGTCATTTGAAAATCAAATCATCCACCTTGTGTTTCAATCCGCAAAGTTAAACGAACTGGCAGTTGAAGATTTAACTAATTTTTTGAGCTTCATTCCCACACACTTTAGCGATGTAATCATTCCGTCACGTGGGTGAGCAGGCTTCCCGCACACTGGTAGTAAGGTAGTGTGTAGTGTAACCAAAGCGCAGATCTGGCGTGATAGATGACCACGCAACAATCTTTAATCTAGCCGGAAACAAGCATAAAGTCAATCATGCTGCGTAACTCGCTGGCTACTTGGAAACTAAATGAGAGTATTACGGTATTTTCACGTTAAATTTTGTTGTTTACTTTGACTGTGATTCAATGATTGATTCATCCACTTAAACCGACCGGCTTATACTTGATTATGTTGAAACCGTCTCTGAATTTGAATCAAATTAACTCAGTTTCCAGCGTTTCATGCAAAACCAAACTCAAGTGTGACCACAACTTCCTTCCACGTTTAAATGCGAATTCGGTGAGATCAATGAAGCATAGTAAACTGAGGCTCCACTGGCTTAAATAACTTTCTGAAGCCCTGACCGTTCATCATGCATGTATGAGGCATCTGTGTTAGACATAAGTCTCGGCTACTTCTACATCTTTCCTTAATGACTTGATGGACTACTGGTGACACGCAGCCACTAGGTGAATTCCCTTGTCATTTTTGAGGATTGTTTGATGTTTCCATTAATGAAAATAATGATTTTCGATCAACCCAATGATACAACTTGAGGGTAAAATTTTTACATAAGTTCACAACTTTCATTCAGATGTTATTCCAAGACACTGGGTCAAGTACCCACAAATTCATTTCTTATTATCAATGAAGTACTGTTAGTTTTCTTAGTTGTGTATAACTCGATCAAAAACAGCTGAGTTTTAGTCAACTATGTTAATGCCATTACTAGGTGTAACATGTCAGTGATTGTTATGTACCGTGTTATCTAAACGGAAAAGTTTATCCCATATAATCGTGTCGAAGTGGCCAAAACATCTGTACATTCAACTTCTAAAACTATCTACTGGTTCCAAAATTCTCCCAATATTTCCAATGAATGAGGAGTCATCCTGGTCCGATTACTTGGCACTGGTTCGTAAGATAAAGATTAAGTAATCAATCTCTGTCTCCAAGCTTTTAACCCAAGATGACGATTGTAGCTCAGTAAGATGATTGTATAAATAGCACCCTTCGTTTACTGATGGATAACGTCTAAAGCACAGGTGTACAAATTATTGCTCATAACCATACCAATGTGTGGGTGCGTGTATATATATTTCTTCACTTATGATATCATTTGATATCGTGTGAAATGAGACTGACCATCTGGTTTCTGCGTAGAAATCTGCACAGATGTGCAGCAGTTAAGACTGTCATTCTCCCTCCACGTAGAGCACAAATTAAGAGAACAGAGTAAAAAGAGATTCAAAGGGGAGGTAATAATCAGAAAGGTGGAGGGGAAGAATAGTAATCGGGGTAAACAGTAGGTTTCTTTTGATGTGTCAGCCCGCGTATGGTGAATGCATTTTCGCCGTCACTCAGAGCGGTTTAGAGCGTATCACTAACTGTCTCCAGCCGCCATTGGTACCTACCATCCCAAGGACCCCAGCCAGGAAGCTAGTCTACGCCTCCCTACGTGGTTGGCCTGAACTAACTGTTGTGGATTTTACTGTCTGATGAAATCATGTTTTGCTGTGACCACTGATAGCTCTTTTCCAACCAGATTCTTCCTACTTAAGCTACCATTTGCCGTCGAGGGAGGCTGTGGCTAGCTATGCAAAACACATATCCCAACCGCGTGCATAGATGTAACTTCACAACCTCATCGATATATTTTCCTTTCTTGCGTAACATTCGATGCCTAGTCTTAATATCGCTCACAATCTTACACCACATAACACGGGAGATAAGACGCAGATACCTGTGATCAAAGACAACTAGCCTTTCATATCTTCCATTTTCAATGACCGTGTCCCAAGTCCACCAAGGGGGACGGAGCGAACTGATAAGCAGTATACCCATTCTTTAATTGATAGCCTCTCGATTATCATGTCTATGCCAGAGCTGGGGTAAGTTTGCAAATGCCACACTAGTCTTCTGGGAATTGATCGATCACCCACCTGTGGAGCAGGACACAACCAGCCACCACTCATCACGATCACGCGGATACGAAAGTCTCCCTAAAGCCGGAGACTTCAATGGCCCATGGAAAATTCGGTCGAAATCTGCTGCGAAATATTAGAAACGCAGGACTGACTGAGAACGTTTGAGGTGACACTAGGTGGTTCCTAGTGGAAAGTCATCTCAACTGGATTATATCCCAACTAGTGATCAGTTATTAGTAAAAAGGTTATGTCAAAATCATGACTTCCCTATATAGCAGTGACCACGTAGTGATGGTGTTTGATCTCATTCTTCTTCAGCGCTTTTAGCGAGATGCTATGCGACCTTATTTGTGCTATAGCAAAGCTGACATTACCGGAATGCGACGAGTTTTGTGTGAGGCAGAAGGGCCCGCAGACTGGCTGTTACCCATAGAGGAACACTGAGAAGTGGTCAAAAGTATCTTTCACACAGCGATTTAAATACCGTCCCTCTAGTCACACTACAGTCTAAAAACGATCCTCATGGCTAAAGAGAGGTACTCAGCATATTCTTCTGGCGAAACAGAAAGTTTGGTTTCATGGCCACTCTCCAATTGTCAAACTGATCACAAGGTATACCTGGAACTCAGGAACTGATGCCATCCAAGAGTCAGGAGTGACAAGGGGGGTCATTTCAGACAAATTTTTCCGTAAAACTCCTGGCTAACTCTGAGACCTGAACCGATTCACTTCGGAAGGGAATTCTATGAACCGAGGGGGCATATGCATTATTTGTTCATTGTCTGACTAGTTTGGGAATGGCTGAAGCATTCTCTCCTGCCTTTGACAGACAGCTAATTAGCAATAAGGGTATTACTGATACTGAACAAAAAGACTGAACTCCTAATCTGCCGAAAGAAAACCCGATGGCTACGACCCAAATAAACTCTGGAGTGGTACCAGGGGCGTTACACAAAACCACAACAGGAAACTCCCTGGGCTCTGACTGTATCCAGCCATGTGTTCCAAAAACAGTGCGCTGAAATTCTCCGCAAATATTTACGTAACCTGTTCCAACACTCAGCGAATTCAGGGAAAGTGGCACGATAGCTATACCCCCTATTTTCAGAAGTGGGGATCGGCAAAATGCTACTACTTCCAGTGGTGCCAAAACCACTAGAAAGTTCAGTCGATGACGACATCAGGCAATACCTCGACAGGACTAACGTACTTCATGTAGCACAACATGGCTCCAGGAGAGGCAGATCCTGTGTGACAAACGTACCATCATTAGCTTGAAATGACTGAGCAACGTGCCGAGGCGTGAGGACGCAACTAATTCAGTATCATCCAAGTGAGCTACAAATATTCTCCATTATTTCAAGTGTCCATATTTGCAGCCACTGGTAGAAATTTATGTTAAACCATCAGATAGACCAATGCCATCATGTGTAATTTCCCTGCAGGTCTGTGGCTGTCACACCACCTATACAGCGTAAAACTTATTCGTTTGCTAACTTACAGATCTCATTTTACTAACATCAAGCCAAATCACGTGTTTGTTTTCTTTGTCCACTGGAATTCTAGTGGGGTTTTGTATTACTCACTGCACAACTTACGCGTGCAGTGCATTATTTCAGCTACAAATAATATTTTTCAGAATTTTTCGAATTAATTAAACATCCAATAATCTCTTAAAGCACAACCAGCGTAACTTCAGCACATACTTGATACATTTTGGTTGAATGAAGTATTCATTTACCATAAGACAGCATAATCGAAGCATATTTTAGACATAGTTCGGAATTACTATGAGCTTGGATACGAAGCAAGGAAAAAGATGTCAGTTTGGTTTACAATACCCCATTGACAACATATGGGACATTGAATCATCGTTTTGACTATTTCGTTACTTGACACAGTTACGGCGTGCATGACAAAATAACGGTTGGTGTGTGGTTATTTTTAACTATACGCATAAGCAATTACAAGTTTTAAATCATTATTCAAAAGATATATTAATATTTTGGTTTCTCTTATGGAAAATCGTTCATTTTTCTCATTGTTCTTCATGATCAGAGTCTCATATGTGCACTACTCTTGAACATATTGGCTTCCTGGAAACTTCAACTGATTCAGCAAGTCCTAAAACCAGTAAATCTGAGCAACAGTTCTTGGTAGAAATGGTTCCTTATCTCTTCCAGACGGCCGCCTCTTCGGTCGTAGGCAAAGATTATGAAATGACATCGGCGGGTAGCACAGTCCTTCCTTCTTCGTACGGATACGTTCGGACTGACATAACATGTACCCCGATTCACTAAGACACAGTCCTGTAGAGGTTTCTATGTCCTACAAATCATTGCTATCCCCTCACCTTGCCTAATAATCGCCTGATACCTGAAACGCGAATTTTGCAGATTCACTCTGTTGGCCAGCACGGGTGTTAGATGACTAACCACGCATCAATCCTCTGACACTTCCAAAATCTTTGAATATTCCCTCAATAAGCTGAAAATTAACAAACAAAATCATGCTTTTGTTAAATCAAATGTAGGGTTCAGCAGGATTCAATCATACGTGATTACGGATTTTTTGTGTAGTTGTAAAAATTGTACTCACCAGTTTATTTTACAACGCTGAGACATAGTGAAGTAGAATTAGTCCAATGTAAAACGTTGCTCTTATCCTCATGTTCTTGTTATCCCTTCACCTACAGCAGTCTCGTTTCAGTATCAATATGTAATGCTTAAAAGTACAACTTACAGGTGTTGCTATCTAATGGTGAACAGACTGTTACATATGATGCTTTTCCAGTTCATAGTCAAGAAGTAGTCGTGATAATATGGTCCCCATTTACATCAGCTTATGTTAGAAACCTCTATGACAGTTGTTTCCACTATCATATCGGAATTAGTAAGATTAGATTATACTCGTGAGTTTATATGACTACTAATTTACAAACTCATCGAACTACGAAGTAGGACTGACTGCATTATATCATTTTAACCCTAAAGGTATAACCTAGAGACCACTTTTGCATTTGACCATTGAATAGGTGCCACTTTGTGATGGTACTAGATGGTTGGAGGTAATCAGCAGGAAGCCCTGAACCTAGGTTTCGTGGTAGATGTTCATAAGGAACATCGCAGAATCAGTTAATCATTCAGTGATGTAAAACAGTAGAGGACGAAATTATTCGGGAACACACTAATCTTTCAGAGTAATAAAAAGCGCCTGGTGGTCGAGTTCTTAATCTCAGGATTCGACGACTCAGCACGGAGAGGAAAATGACACTTCACCAGGTTTGAATGAGAATAATTCTCGATGATGAGCTTGTGCAAGTACAAGTCCTGATGGATGGCTCTTGGTCAACTTACTCGTCTTAACGTCTAAAAGCGTCTTCTCCAACAGCTTACTCATTGTCTCAGACTGCTCTGAATGTTCCGAATTCGATAGTCGACACACATTCGAGTACCTTCGAATCCCCTTCACATATTACCATGTGAATTTAAATTACTAATGTAAATATCCTCCACTACTTTGAAATTACCCTCTTTGTGGAAAGACGATACACTATTTTCTTTCAAGTATACACTATGACAAGCCTTCATGTTTGCTGTTGGTTTTGGTGAAAGAGATATATTATCCGATACTGGTCCATATCTCATTGTGTTTGTGAAATCCAGTGGACATGATATCCAACTGTCGACCGAAGGGTGTGTGTACTACTCAGCAGTCCACTCTGTGCTCCTTTTTGCCTGTGAGACATGGTCATTGATATTGGAAGACATGAGAGGGCTACGAGTCTTTGGTCATATGTGTCTGCATTCTATCTCCCATGTTAGGTGGTATGATACTGAGGCTGAGAATCGAATGCTAGGTAAGGAGGTAGAGTCAATCTCTGAGGTTGTGAAACTACATCGTTTGAGATGGTTAGGGCATGTGTTACGCATTCTTCAACAATAGACAATGTTAGCTGACATAGGATGGATCAGGTTAGAAAAGAGTTGGCTAGTGGTGGACATACCAAAAACTTGGAATCAGTCGATGAATTCTTCGACAGTTAGTCTGAGCCATGTGTGTAGGTAGGGAGGTGTAGACAGCCTGGTTAAGATTCTTGTGATGCTAAGAACCATAATAGGCTAGAGACAATTGTTGAGATGGCTCGGAATTGTTGTCAATGGCTGGGTTAGATGCATTCACTCTCTGTGACCTGCCGTATCCAAAACGTCCCCAGTCGATTTTTTCCATGCTACTGTTCTCTATCTTCCTCCCTCCCACATTTCTGCTCATTATTTTTCATTTGAATCTATTTTTTTCTTTGTGTGGTAAGTGGAATGTGGCAGCTGGAATTGGTACACTTCTGTGCAGAGCTTTATGTTCAAACCTACCAGTCAGGCAGCCTTTATTATAAGAGATTTCGCAAAATAACAGCCGCTGAACACTTAAGAAGTGTTTGGTTTATTACATCTCTTGTGCACATGGACGCTTCAGTATGTGCTCACTTTGTATTATATTTTGTGGTTAGTTTCAAAATGTTCCGATATCCAGCAAAGATATGTTTTCTGAAAAACACTAAAGAGTGGGAAAAAACGGAAACGAAATTTAATGTATACACACACAGCTTCCAACCACACTTGGGTGCTTTCTTGCGTTGGTGGTACAGTTAGTGGTAGAATACTCACTCACCACGCTACTTTTGGTACAAGGGTTCGATCCCCGGCTATCAACCAAAGGGCGTGTGTACTGCTCAGCAGTCCCTCTCCGTCCTCCTTTATGACTGTGGGACCCGACCATTAAAAGTGGAAGACATGAAAAGGCTGGCTAGCTGTCTTTGATCATAGGTGCCTGTGGTTTATCTCCCGTGTGAAGTGGTGTAATAGGATGAGCAATTTTGAGGTTAGGCGTCGAGTGCTAAGTAAAGAGGGGAAATGAATCAATGAGGTTGTGTTACACCGATTGAGATGGTTAGGACATGTGTTACGCATTCATGCCTAGCCATTGCCTTCCTCCACAACCCACAATGTTAGCTGACATAGGGTAAGGCTAGAAAAGAGCCAGTGGTGGTCGAACCAAAATATGGCTTCATCAATCAATGAAATGCACAACAATTAGTTTAAGCTAGCCATGTAAGAAGGTGTAGACTTGCTGGTTGGGGTCCTTGGGACGGTGGAGACAATCGGTAATATGGCTGTCGCAAAGTGATCATTTTCAGTGACTGGTGCAGATGCATCCACTTCTTGTGACTTATAATACCTGATAAAACCATAGTATTCTTCGTTATTACTATTCTTTTTGCCTCATATCTCAGTTTACTGTCACTATTTTGCACTTCACTTTACTTTCTTTCCTTGCTTTGTGTGCTACATGGAGAGGGAGGGGCAACTGGAACTGCTGCACATCGACGCAAAGTTCTATGTTGAAACCAGTCAGTCATCCCCGGTTGATGTACCCCTTAACCTCACCTAGTCGGTAGTAAGTCCAGTATATAGGAGGGAAGGTTGAACATGAGGCTGACCAGCCCACTCCGTATATAAAAAAAAATAATCATCACTGCTACTGAAACTTCATAGCTCTCACGCTTTGATGCCCGCTTATGATCTATACTCCGAATGCAATAATTAAAATGAAATATTTTAGATGTGACTGTTTGCTACGAAAACTAGTGTCTATTGGATTGGATAAACATTTGTCTACTCGTCAAGAAAACTGGAAGATCAACGTACTTGCAATGGTCAAAAACCATATTCTTCGACCCCCAACACGCCCTCTATTCCCAACTCTCGCCTTGTATCTCATCAAGTAAAACCAGAAATCAGCATAAAATAATCTATGCTCGTACAACCAAGTACAGGAACTCAACGATACCATACTTAGCCCGTGTTCTAAGCGACAGAGACAATGTTAAGAGTGAAACTTATGACTTGCTCTGTTATTAACGACATAATTTTAGGCTCTTTTATTTCTCTCTTATTTTGTATTCTTTAGTGAACTCCTTCTTAAACATACTTAGCTACCTAAAATATTAACATTGGCTTCCTTTTTTGTACTTTACTATATTCCTTCTATTGTGTATCCACTGGTTCCGACTCTATTAGCACTACGAGTATTACAAAATTGTCCTGTCATTAACCATCATGTAATATTAGTTTTGTGGTTGTTTTTCTTATTTTCTATACTTTTCGGCAATATTAAACTGACAATCATTGGTTGTGAACGCCATAGTCACCACCTTAAAAAATTTTGTATTATTCAGGATTACTCACACTACCACCACAAACACTGCATTAGACTTTGGTAGACTTTTGTACTTTTTCGCATTTATAATTATTTTGTGTTTATCCTGTTTTTTTTGCTGTTGGTGTCTTCAGATTTATTATTTTTTTGTTTGTTTAATACTTATTTTAAATGTCTGTAAAATTAGATGCAAATATTGTAGATATGTGCTGAAAATTCCACACTGTACCACTAGTACTGTTTCTGGAATAAGGCAAATTATTATTATTATTATTATTATTATTATTATTATTATTATTATTATATCTTAGTCACCTAAATCCATGAAGATATATATATATATATATTCACAGCCTCATCTCTATTCGGCTTTCTATCTCATCTAGCAGTACGTCTAATCTCCACGCTGTTACTGTTTTATTGCATTTGAAGCCAGCGATGAAACAGACGTAAAAGACCAAAGGCATATGATTTCTTTACAGCTAGCTAGTTGCAGAGTAAGACACAGTGAATTAGTGCAGAGGTGAACATATGTCCTTTTTTAATTGACAATCGGTTATTTCACCGGAACAGAATTGATAGGATTAGGCTCCAGGACCCAGAACATTTGAATGCCGACTATCTAAGCTAATAATTTAGTGAATAATAAGTGTATGTTTATGTTTATTTCACTTTGAGTGGTGAAATACGATTATGCTTGAAAAGAAGTTAAACTTTTCTGACTGGTTATTTTGCAGTGATTTGACTGGTAACAGCCTTTGATCAGGAGTTGACGTCATTTAGAATTCATGGGCCATTGCATAGATGTCCAGCGACTGAATGGTCTACGAGGCCTTCTTGTAACTGAGAAGCGCTAGGTTCGACCCCGGATGAATGCGTACTGATGGGAGAGCAGACTAGGACGGAAGAGCTCTTCAGTACATCTTGCTGGTTTTCTAACGGTTCTGTAACTGATTTCATTTCGATCAAATCCCTACTAACCAGCAACTGTTGAGTAATTTGATGCTCACTAGTGACTGACTCTATGTAGAAGGTTGCCTGGAGTTCTTGTGTGAGGTTTTAACCAGCGGGGACGACCAATTCAGACTTGAGGAAAGTAACTCGCCTATGATATTGGATGGCGGTTCCTCTACACTGGCAGAAGTTGAAACTTATGCGCCACTGGATCAGGTCCCAGTGGCTCTGAACGCGGTCTATGAGCGCTGTCCTTTTAACTGGGGAAAGCCGTGGGGGGGGGGTTAGAATCCAAGTGAATGAGTATTGCTGAAGAGTCCCGAGTTATAGGTCGACGAAACAATAGTCCTGTACACTCTCCTTGGTGATTTTCAGTAGTTCTTTAACCGAATCAACCATCCGTTTCTTGTTTTAACTAATATTTAACTAAACCTGCTTATATTTATGGGTCTAGTATTATGTTAACTATGCCGTTTAAATTAAATTCAACACCTCTTCAGGTTCACTACCCATGGTTGCCAATGAATACACAACACGGATTGTTGTGGATACAGCACCGTTTGTCAAGCGAACACGACTCGAAGTAAGGTGTGATTCTCAGTGATTCTTATTTTCTTCTTCTAGAATTTCAATGCTATTATTTATACTGTACCACAAGTAGTCGATGAAATCAAAGATCCTCAGACACGTGAATATATGAAATGTCTACCTTATACAATAAATTGTCAAATACCACAAAAAGAATCTGTAAAATACGGTAAGAGACTAATACATATTATATTACATTGATTGTTATTTCATATCAATATATATTCCAGTTAAAGATATTGCAAAACAGACCGGAGATATTTCAGTGCTTTCTTCAACAGATATTCAAGTGATTGCATTAACTTATGAATTGTATAAAGAGTATATAGGGGAACCGAAGCTCAAAGAAATAGTAAGTAAAGCGTGTGTGTGTTTACTAATTGTGTTTATGCATTCTAGAAACCGTTACCAAGTAATCTTAGCTTATTGGCTCGTTGTGAAGTACCGAAAACAACGGGTAAAGAAAGTGGGACATCTGGTGAAGACGACAACGATGATGATGATAATGAAGATGTTGAGGGAGGAGAAGAAGGAGAATCAGCAACAGCATCAGAAGAAGAAGACGAAGAAACACAACAGGACACAGAATCTCTTGAACCTAACGATGATGATTGGATAACAGAAGATAATTTCGATGAAAAAGCTATGACTAACTTTGGACTTGGACGTGATTTCTCGTAGGTTAAAAGCACACCCATTTAATTCTCTCACGTTTTAATCTTTAAAAAAAAATTGCATTGTGTTGTTTAATGTCAACTTTATGCCTCCTGTTAATGCTGTGCTTCTAAGTGTGCTATGAACGCTTCGATAATGTTTGTAGGGGGTACTTTTGATGTTTTTAATTATTGGGTAAATGGTGGTGTCTAACGGTGCGGTATCCAGGAGGTGCTTATTAATATATATGTGTAAAACTTGGGCACTGTGGTAGTAAATAATTCCATATTAGTTTGTTTATTAGATGTATCACACGGTCAGTGAAACAGTATTAGTATTTACTGGATATTTACTGATATATATTCATGGATAGGTGGGAAAACATAGTGATTGAAACGTTCAGCCCCATCCCAAAAGTATGGTGGAGATATATAGATGACACATTCACTGTACTTAGAACACAAGATATAGATAGATTTTTCGAACACATCAACTCGAAGGTTGAAGCAATTCAATTCACTTATGAATTGGAAGTCAGGAAGGAGAGCTTCCAATGTTAGATTGCAGCGTAAAAAGGAAAGAAGATGGGAAGTTAAACACTAGTGTTTTCAGGAAACCCACACATTCAAACAGATATTTGGACTTCCAATCATCCCATCCTATGTCAGTAAAAATAGGATTGGTGAAATGTTTAAGTGACAGAGCACAAAAACTAAGTAGTACCAAGTAAAATCTAAGACAGGAAGTGAGGCATATAAGAGAAGATTTGAAACTTAATAATTACCCTGATAAATTAGTCAGAAAGCATGTAGGGAAATGTAAAAATAAAATAAATAATGATAGTAGTGATAGTGATAATATTAATAATATTAATGACGACATGCATGTCAAACATGCGCAGGATAATGACAACACCAAAAATAAGGAATCCAAATCATCAGTAGTAATTCCATACAAGAAAGGAACCTCGGAAACCTTACGCAGAATTCTTAAGAAGGCAGGAATAAAAACGGCATTCAAACCCACAAACTCAATTAGAAACAAGCTTTGTCGGTTAAAGGATCCTGTAGAGCCTTTAAAACAAAACAATTTAGTTTATCTAATACCCTACCTGCAATGATTGTCAGGTCAAATACATAGGTCAAACTAGTAGAACAGGGGCAGTCAGACTAGCTGAACATAAAAACTTAGCAAAATCTAGATTGGTTGATCCAAATAAGATAAGAAATCTAGAGAATAGTTCAGCTATAGCACTACACATGCAGTTACACACAACCATACAATAGGATGGGATAGGATGACAGTTTTAAAATCTAATGTCACAGGTTGAATGGAGGGAGAGATTGATAACAGAAGCTTCGTTTATCGAATCAACTGAAGAGAATACGTGTAACAGGAATGATTCAACACCTGTCCACCCCCACGACGACAAATAGGAGAGAACAAAGAAAACTATAAAACTCAAGTTTCAAAGTCGTGTGGTTATAATTGATTCATTATGAACAGCGATGAATTGTGTTCAAAACCTTGTCATCTAGTAAATAATACTGTTTCACTGACCGTGTGATACATCTAACAAACAAACTAATATGGAATAACTTACTGCCACAGTGTCCAAGTTTTACACATATATTAATGTGCTTTATTGAATTTCTCCAACATGTCCTTATAGTTTCACTTTCTTTCGTCAAAACTATAAATGTTTAATCAAGATATGAGCAATAGAAATCAATATTATATATATATATATATATATATATATATATATATTCATATTACATCTCTAAATGGGCCATTATCTGTTTTCGCTAGGAAAGTAAACTTTAGGATTGGGCCTAGTTGTGATTACATAGCCAATGCCATCTGATTGATTGTTTGTCTATACATTTCTTTATTGAACAGAAAGTTCATAGGTTCATTGTGCGTACACTTTATAAGAACCCTTATTTCATATGAATAGTGATCAAGATTTGAGTGGATATTTGCATAATAATTGAGCGCTAAGTGAGAAGTAGACATTTATAAAATTATATTTGTAAAATCTCAGCCAAATTGAAATGAGTAATTCCAACGTTTCGTACGGCAATCTGGTTCGAACTTCTTCAGGGAAATTAATCGAAATTAACATAACAGAGGTTTATGTATAAAAGGAACAACTCTTGTTTTTGAAAACTTTGTCCAATCATGAGTCATGCAACAGGCATCAACATGTATAGTAAATAAATAAATAAAATAGTATGTTTATATATAAAAGTACATCTCTTGTTTTAAATTGTTTGTCCTGTCATGTGAATCAAGAAACAGCTATCAATAGGTATAATAAACAAAACAAAAGAAAAAAATTTTTATATGAACTGTGATCAAAATTTAACCTCAGACTTTCAAAATTAGTCTACTTTTATAGGTTTCCAGGCCGTAGGTGTTACGAACTTCCTGGAATAATTCGAGCGCCGAGTCAGATTGATTCATTATAAATTATTTAAATTAATCCCAGCGTGTTAAGAAAATCAAAACAAGATTTTTCTGAACGTTTCGCTGTGTGAACCACGCTGGGATTAATTTAAATAATTTATAATTAGTCTACTTTTGTTAAAATATATGTGTATCTGCAGTATTATACAATGGTGTGTGTGGGTGAACAGTCATAAAACATTTGTTATTCTCATATGAGCTGTGATCAAGATTTGACCGGATAGTTACAAAATAATTGAGATTTTTTACAAATATAATATAATTTTATAAATTTGTTATTCTCTCCATAAGAAGACGTAGACAATCGGGAATTTGATCAAATGTGACTAGTTGTTGATACATATCGAATTTATTTACTAGTCAGGATTTGCCATGCATCAGCTAACATCACACCTTCACGTCTGTTCAAACTGTTGGGATTCACCCATATATGTAGGGCTTCTGCAGTCAGTCTTTCTTTATATGAACCAAAACCTTTCTGTAAAACCTTAGTCTTATCAAAGTCGATTTTGTGTCCCGTTTCTATCGAATGCAGTGCAATCGCTGAGTTGTTTTCTAGCTTCTTCAAGTCTGCAGAGGTCTTTGGAACCACCTTTAGACATTGTTTATGCTCTTTCACTCTTATATTTACCTGTCTGGAAGTTTCTCCTACATATACGGCGTTACAATCCCCACAATTGATCTGGTATACGCAATTCTGCTGGTTTTCTTGTTCTATTTTATCCTTAACCTTCACCAGTAATGAGCGTAAGGTGTTTGATGCACGAAAATACACTCTTATGTTATGGTCGTTAAGGATTCGCTTTATTTCATCGGATGTTTCTTTGCGGTAAGGAATCACCGCTGTACTAACCCAATTCTTAGCATCAGGTTTCGATTCATCCTTATCTTCACATTTTAAATATCTTTTTATGAAGGTTTTAGGATAATTATTTGATTCAAGAGTGGATTGAACCAATTTTAGTTCCTTGCTAATATCTTCCTCCTCAGTAACTAGACGTTTGGCTCTGTTGATCAGATTCTTGGCCACAGTTACTTTGGTGGTAAATGGGTGAGCTGAATAGTAATCTAGGTATCTATCCGAATTTGTCGGCTTTCTGAAAATGTTTATTTTAAATTTGCCATCTAATTTTCTTTTTACTAAACAGTCCAGGAATGCCAACTCATTCTCATCGGATTCAACCTCTTTGGAAAACTTGATAGTTTCTGACATATTGTTTATTAAGTGAAAAAGTTCATTTAACAAACTACGTTTGATTATGATGAAGGTATCATCTACGTATCTTAACCACATCTTTGGGGGACTAGGGCATCTCATAATTGCATTTGTTTCTAATGAGTGCATAAACAGATTGGCGACTAGCGGAGATACTGGTGATCCCATAGCAATGCCTCCTGTTTGACGATAAAGAACCCCTCTAAACGTAAATAACGTGGATCGAAGACACAATTCTAATACCTTCATAATTTCGTCGGGATTTAAAGGACAACGACCACTGAGTTCGTCGTCAGCACAAAGTAAATTATAAATAATACTTAAAGAATCATTAACGGGAACATTCGTGAATAATGAATAAACATCGAAACTTGCCATTATTTCATCTTCTTCAATATTAGTCAAGTTTATTTTCCTCTTAAATTCATACGAATTCTTCACTCCATGCTCCACTTTCATTTCATATGGACTAAGAATTCGATAAATGTATTTAGAGAGTTTGTATGTTGGAGAATTAGTAAAATCCACTACTGGACGTAATGGAACATCTGATTTGTGTATTTTTGGTAACCCATAAAATCTACAGGGGCTGCAACTTTTTGGAGCCAGAGTAAACCAAAGTGATACACCGAGCTTCTCTTTTATTGACTGTAACATTTTGCTTGTTTCAGCCTTCAGCTTATTTAATGTTGCTCTTGATTTATTCACGTTGAATTTTTCATAAGGTCCGTCATTAAGATGGTCAATGGCCTTCTTTTCGTAATCTGCAGTGTTCATGACAACCGTGATATTGCCTTTATCTGCTCTTGTAATTATAATTGATTTATCCTGTTGTAGGTGTTTTAATGCCAGTTGCTCGTTTTTGTTTATATTCGGCGCATTTGGTTCCTGGTTCAGTAGTACCGCTGCAATTTTATTTCTTATGACGTTTGCCTCTTCGGCTGTCACTGAATTTAACGACGGTTCAATTGCTGGAACTACTTCAAAGGCTGATAAACGCCTTTTGTTTAAGTTGAAATTAAGTCCCTTTTTAAGGAGGGATAGTTCATAATCTGATAAATTTCTGTCAGAGAGATCGACCACCACTTTGTTCGTATCCAGAAAGTTATGACTAGACGGATTGTCAAATTGATGGTGTTCAGGATTAATGTTTAGTTGAAGTAACCTGTCTGCAACAGAATATCTATCCTGAATCCGTAACTGTCAAGTCACGTGATAACTCTAGCGGATCGATTAAAGCAGCTCATTCTACAACTAGAACTTCAACTAAACATTAATCCTAAACACCATCAATTTGACAATCCGTCTAGTCATAACTTTCTGGATACGAACAAAGTGGTGGTCGATCTCTCTGACAGAAATTTATCAGATTATGAACTATCCCTCCTTAAAAAGGGACTTAATTTCAATTTAAACAAAAGGCGTTTATCAGCCTTTGAAGTAGTTCCAGCAATTGAACCGTCGTTAAATTCAGTGACAGCCGAAGAGGCAAACGTCATAAGACACAAAATTGCATCGGTACTACTGAACCAGAAGCCAAATGCGCCGAATATAAATAAAAACGAGCAACTGGCATTAAGACACCTACAACAGGATAAATCAATTATAATTACAAGAGCAGATAAAGGCAATATCACGGTTGTCATGAACACTGCAGATTACGAAAAGAAGGCCATTGACCATCTTAATGACGGACCTTATGAAAAATTCAACGTGAATAAATCAAGAGCAACATTAAATAAGCTGGAGGCTGAAACAAGGAAAATGTTACAGTCAATAAAAGAGGAGCTCGGTGTATCACTTTGGTTTACTCTGGCTCCAAAAAGTTGCAGCCCCTGTAGATTTTATGGTTTACCAAAAATACACAAATCAGATGGTCCATTACGTCCAGTAGTGGATTTTACTAATTCTCCAACATACTAACTCTCTAAATACATTTATCGAATTCTTAGTCCATATGAAATGAAAGTGGAGCATGGAGTGGAGAATTCGTATGAATTTAAGAGAAAAATAAACTTGACTAATATTGAAGAAGATGAAATAATGGCAAGTTTCTATGTTTATTCATCATTCAAGAATGTTCCCGTTAATGATTCTTTAAGTATTATTTATAATTTATTTTGTGCTGACGACGAACTCAGTGGTCGTTGTCCTTTAAATCCTGACGAAATTATGAAGGTATTAGAATTGTGTCTTCGATCCATGTTATTTACGTTTAGAGGGGTTCTTTATCGTCAAACAGGAGGCATTGCTATGGGATCACCAGTATCTCCGTTAGTCGCCAATCTGTTTATGCACTCATTAGAAACAAATGCAATTATGAGATGCCCTAGTGCCCCAAAGATGTGGTTAAGATACGTAGATGATACCTTCATCATAATCAAACGTAGTTTGTTAAATGAACTTTTTCACTTAATAAACAATATGTCAGAAACTATCAAGTTCTCCAAAGAGGTTGAATCCGATGAGAACGAGTTGGCATTCCTGGACTGTTTAGTAAAAAGAAAATTAGATGGCAAATTTAAAATAAACATTTTCAGAAAGCCGACAAATTCGGACAGATACCTAGATTACTATTCAGCTCACCCATTTACCACGAAAGTAACTGTGGCCAAGAATCTGATCAACAGAGCCAAACGTCTAGTTACTGAGGAGGAAGATATTAGCAAGGAATTAAAATTGGTTCAATCCATTCTTGAATCAAATAATTATCCAAAAACCTTCATAAAAAGATATTTAAAATGTGAAGATAAGGATGAATCGAAACCTGATGCTAAGAATTGGGTTAGTACAGCGGTGATTCCTTACCGCAAAGAAACATCCGATGAAATAAAGCGAATCCTTAACGATCATAACATAAGAGTGTATTTTCGTGCATCAAACACCTTACGCTCATTACTGGTGAAGGTTAAGGATAAAATAGAACAAGAAAACCAACAGAATTGCGTATACTAGATCAATTGTGGGGATTGTAACGCTGTATATGTAGGAGAAACTTCCAGACAGGTAAATATAAGAGTAAAAGAGCATAAACAATGTCTAAAGGTGGTTCTAAAGACCTCTGCAGACTTGAAGAAGCTAGAAAACAACTCAGCGATTGCACTGCATTCGATAGAAACGGGACACAAAATCGACTTTGATAAGACTAAGGTTTTACAGAAAGGTTTTGGTTCATATAAAGAAAGACTGACTGCATAAGCCCTACATATATGGGTGAATCCCAACAGTTTGAACAGACGTGAAGGTGTGATCGTAGTTGATGCATGGCAAATCCTGACTAGTAAATAAATTCGATATGTATCAACAACTAGTCACATTTGATCGAATTCCCCATTGTCTACGTCTTCTTATGGAGAGAATAACAAATTTATAAAATTATATAATATTTGTAAAAAATCTCAATTATTTTGTAACTATCCGGTCAAATCTTGATCACAGCTCATATGAGAATAACAAATGTTTTATGACTGTTCACTCACACACACCATTGTTAATACTGCATATACACATATATTTTAACAAAAGTAGACTAATTATAAATTATTTAAATTAATCCCAGCGTGGTTCACACAGCGAAACGTTCAGAAAAATCTTGTTTTGATTTTCTTAACACGCTGGGATTAATTTAAATAATTTATAATGAATCAATCTGACTCGGCGCTCGAATTATTCCAGGAAGTTCGTAACACCTACGGCCTGGAAACCTATAAAAGTAGACTAATTTTGAAAGTCTGAGGTTAAATTTTGATCACAGTTCATATAAAAATTTTTTTCTTTTGTTTTGTTTATTAAACCTATTGATAGCTGTTTCTTGATTCACATGACAGGACAAACAATTTAAAACAAGAGATGTACTTTTATATATAAACATACTATTTTATTTATTTATTTACTATACATGTTGATGCCTGTTGCATGACTCATGATTGGACAAAGTTTTCAAAAACAAGAGTTGTTCCTTTTATACATAAACCTCTGTTATGTTAATTTCGATTAATTTCCCTGAAGAAGTTCGCACTAGATTGCCGAACGAAAGGCTGGAATCAATCATTTCAATTTCGCTGAGATTTTACAAATGGAATTTTATAAAGAACTCGTAGTTCTTTGGAAAATTTGATTTCGTTTCATTTGGGGGTATTTTGTGAATGAATAGAGATTAACACAAAAATTTCAGTGGAATACGAGTAAAGTAGATGACAGAGACACTTTCAACGTTTCTCATCACAATGATACTACAAGGACTGGACTACATCGACTTCTGCTAGTTTAAAACAAACAAACAAAGGGAAGTGAGCGTGTTGACCGGTCACTTCACTTATTCGGGAAGTTAGTTGCATATCAGCCATAGCCAACGGATACAGAAGACTCGTTTGAGATATACCTGTCAGCCTATACCATCTCTGGCTTAGTAGACGTGATATCCGGCTGGTTGGTTATCGGGCAGAGGACGTGCGGACTGCTCAGCTGCAGTTTTCTCTGTCCGCCTTTTTGACTGTGAGTGAGACATGGTCATTGTAAGTGGGGAGGTACAAAGCGGCTAACCGTCTTTGATAATAGGTGTCTGCATTCTGTCTCTTGTGTGTGCTAAGCAGTAAAAAAAGATGAGCAATATTGAGTTGGTGAGGCATTGGTCGATTGCTAGGTAAGGAGGAAGGGGAAATCAATCGACGAGGCGGTTGTGAAACAGCTGCATCAATTGTGATGGTTAGGACATGTGTTACGCATGCATCCCTAGCCTATCCATCGCCTTCCTCGATAATGGGCAGTGTTATCTGACTGACATAGGATGGATGAGGTTGGAAAAGAGTTAGCCAGTCAGCCACGTAGGGAGGGAGGTGTAGACTTGCTGTCTGGTTGGTTGGTGTCCTCGGGATGGTAAGAATCAACGTCAATGACGGCTGGAGACAATTGGTGATATGGCTGGCTCACAATTGTGCTCAATGGCTGGTGCAGATGCATTCCCTCCTTGTGATTTGTCATATCCGGTAAACGTCTATTGATCTTCCGTATTACTATTTTTTTGGCCTCGTATTTCTGTTTATTATCTCTGTTTTGGATCTCTCTTTACTCCCTTCTGTTGCTTTGTGTGCTACAAGGAGGGAGTATGTCAACTAGAACTGCCAGCACATCTGTGCAAGAGTTCTACGTTGAAACCAGTTAGTCAGTGACGTCTAAAGCACAGGTGGTACAGATTATTGCTCATAATCATACCAATGTGTGTTTGTGTGTATATACATATTTTCACTTATTTTATCGTTTGATATTGTATGAAATTTTCTCACTTTTTACTTAAATTTTAGAGATTCAATGGAACCAATAAATAAAGCTCAGACAGATGTTGTGGCATGTTTGACAACTGATTTCGCTATGCAGAATGTTCTATTTCACATGGGTCTTGATATAGTCAGTTTGAATGGTTTACGTATTCGTCAGCCAAGAACTCATTTACTGTGGTGCAGTGCATGTTGCAAGTAAGTCGTCTGCCCTTTTTTTTCAGAGAAATACTCAACTTGTGAATATAACTTTGTGAATTAGTGAAATAGCCACAGATAGAGGTGATACTATATTGTGATGAAATAGTTTCTGTAACCGACCACACGTCACTCTACTGTACCACTCGTTATCAATTCATGATAACATACACACACACTGGTTGATTATGGGCACCAAGGGATGATTTAGCACACAAAATCTCCTACTTTGAACCAGGCTTAGGGTGTTACTGCATGGACGCCCAGGTTTGTAGGTGTCTTGTTCGGTGGCCACGTCTTTCCGATCAATTCTTGAAGTTACAGTCTGATTCACCACATAGCAGTGGAGATTAGCATCAGAAGGTGCTTTCCCGTGATTGCTGGTGATGATCAAAACACAGGTTCACACGCCATTCATTACTTCCAGATTCTGGAGCTAGCCCACATATAAACGACATATAGGTTTGTAATCAGGGTTTCCAAGTCCCCCGAGGTGGACAAAGTTAAAATTCAAGCACCACTAACTAACTACCAATCAGCGAATGACCTCAAACACACCAATCACGTGAAGGAGGCATTTTTGTGTATGGAAAACATATTTATGAAAAAATGCATGAAAACCGTATAAAAGTGTTACAGAGAATACCTTCCTCTCACATGTGATAAAAATAGCTCTCAGTTTTAGACTGGAGTATAATTCCATTGTGGGTAGAATTTATTTTGATAGTTTTTCATTGTTATGCAGTGTAATATTTACTGGGCAATAAACTGCGCTCGAAACGTGGTCATCCGTATAAATATTACTGTATAACAACACTTTGAGACTTTATCAAATTAAATTTTACCCACAATGGAATTATACTCTACCGCCACAGTGCACAAGTTCTATTCTTATATCATGAACAGAGTAATTTAACCACATTCTATGCATGTAATTATTATCTAGGTCTTCTAACCATAACAATAACCCTAATGTTTCCTGAACGTAACCCCAACGAGCGAAAATATCTAAACAAACTGTAATCTAACTCGAATCAACCCTAATGTCTCCTTTATTAGGTTAACCTAACCCTAACTTCTCCTTGGCTTAAACCGTAATTTAATCTTTCCCAAACCTAGGCTGGAACTTGCTAGATATCCCATTTACTAGCATAACACTTCGATGAGCATATATTTTATTGATGATGACAACATTATTTGCCAGGTCTCACTAACTTGCTCAGTTAACGCCTCAAGGTCATTGATGCGGTCGCACTCCATTGGTAGTTTGTTAGTGGTGCTTAAACTTTAACTTGACCCTGAGGTGGACTCGTATGTCCATCAGTCAAATTTTGCGCATTCTCCCTTTCACCTTTGTGAGGAACACCGCTGACACCGAGCACAAGCTGTGCCTAGGGCTTACCTGGTAGAAACTGTACGCCCTGGCTGTATGACAGCGTCTTGAGAAGAAGTTCGACGTCTACCCACACTTGGTCTCACCACGTCGTTTATGGGAGTTTTATTGTCAACTTCATACAGATTAACTTTGAAGATGGACGATATTCATGTTGTGCAACCGAAAACTCGAGGATGAAATAGATGTGGGCTACTGAAGCCCTATGCTCCACTGAGAATTCAGAGGAGATTACTACTGTTGTGAGAACTGTCTGCTAGCCAAAATTGGTAGACAGCAATTCACGTCAATATTTACGTCCCAAATCTTGGTCATGAGAAAAAACCAAGAACAAAGCCTAACCTTGAGGAGCTCAACAACCAATCACAGCAGACTTAACGTGTGCAAATACGATTCGCAGATATATCACCGGACTATTGATATAAGTATACAACTTGGGCACTGTGGTAGAGTATAACTCCATTATGGATAAGATTTTATTTTGATAAGTCACACAGTAATATTAACTGATGACCACGTTTCGAGCATAAACTATTGCTCATAATCATATCAGATTACTCACACAACCCTTTTCCTTTATTTATATACATGTGTGGAATTGACTAGATATTTGAATAAAAGCCAACATAGGATAATGTACATTCAGAAATAATAATATGAGTGTTGATGATCAAATAGAATCAGATGCGAAATATAGCGAGTGATTTTATAGTCAAAATAAGAAACTTGTTAGAATGTTGTGATGGGCTTGAATTGAAATAGAATTTTGAGATTATTTATTATCATCCTCTGATTTGACTGATTGGTGGTAATAATACCTTCCATATTTCCGGTATTTGTGTTGAGTTATTTCTGTTGCATGTGTTGGGTGTAAACTCAATGAACCAGGATTCAGTAATCAATCTCTCCACCTACCTATATTACTGTTTAGAATTTTGACTCTGTCCCATCCACCCTATTGTGTGTTAATGCATGCAGTGCAATGTACTGCTGAGTGTTTTTTCTAAATTACTTATCACAGGGTCAACCATTCTTATCTTAGTTAAATTCTTATGATCTAATAATCTTATTACCCCCGATCTACTAGTTTAACCTATATGGTTGACCTCACAGTCATTGCAGGGTGTTTTTTAAATTATATTATTTTGTTTAATTGGGTCCACAGAGTCCTTTAACCTACAGAGCCTGTCCCTGAGTGACTTTGTAGGTTTGAATGTCACCCTAATTCCTGCTTTATTGAGAATCCTACTTCGGAGGGTCTCAGATGTCCCCTCCTTACATGGTATAACAGTAGATGACTTATATTCTCTCTCACTTATGTTATCACTACTAGTTTCACAATTATTTTCATTTTGCTTTTGGCCTTTTTCGAACTTCCTAATGAATTTTATAGGATAGTTAGTTATTTGATACCAACGCTTCATCTTCTCTCTGTTTTATTTCGTCATTTAGGTCTTTTCTTGTGCTACTGCTCGGTTTGTTAGACACTTAACTAAGCCTGCCTGAACAGTTAACGGATGAGATGAATTAAAGTCTAAGTAGACATATCTCTAGCTTCTTGACACATAAACTCATTAGTATAGGGAATAAAAATCACATTTGAATCGGAAAATGAACAAGGAGAATTAGCTGTGATGTTAGATTGTAAAATAAAACGAATAGTAGGAGGTAAACTACACACTAGCGTTTATAAAAAACCAACGCATTCTAATCTAACATAGCTAATTCTAACATTCTAACAAGTTACTTATTATGACTATAAAAACACTCGTCTTATTTCCCATCTGATTGTATTTGATCAATAACACTCATATTATTATTATTTCTGATTGTACATTATCCCATATTGATTTTTATTCCAATATCTAATCGATTCCACTCATGTGTATAAATGAAGCAAGAAAGTTGTGTGAGTACTGACTTGATATGATTATGAGTGGTAATAGTTTGTGCTTGAAGCGTCATCGGTTAATATTACCGTGTGACTTGTCAAAATGAAATCTTATCCATAATGGAGTTATATCCCCGGACTATCTAAGAAACGGCAACAAAGAGATGACAGAATAACCTTCAGCAGCAAAAAACAACCAATCAGAAGACGTTGCTTCTCTGCTAACAATAACGCTAATAATAACGTACACAAAAATCTATAAATATCTGTTGATTTTCTCAATAAAAGATCTGTTGCCTGGCTGACCTTGTCTTCTGTCGTTACACTACTACTTGCTAGAACTGAATTGTGTACTGAATGTGATTTTCCGTCATTAAAATTGTTTATCACTCAATCAGTAATTGTTAAAATTAAACTCGTACAAGTTGTTAGCTATAATGTATCCATAAGAGTACTTGTAGGCGTCCTATAATGATGTAGGAGGTGTGATTAGTCATTAACTAGTGGTCATGCATCCGGCCCTTTAATTTACTGCAGATTAAATTCTATCAGTTAAATTTTGCTCTGTATGGTCATCATATGCTAGGTTGCTCACTATCATCAAGGTAGGTGCATTCAGAATTGTTGAAATTAGATGAAGGCCTGAATAGCACAGTGGTAACTTCTCTGACTACAGCACTGAGTGACTCGGGTTCGAATGTCAAAAGGGAGATGAATTGCTTCAAGATTGCGGTGTGACGCCTTGGTGTGATACGAGTGGCAACAAGCACGAAATCTAGGTCGAAGACTTTTTGCTGACTGCCTGTAGCCATCTAATACCAACGGTTATGGTTTAAACGCGTCGTTGCGCCTCTGCCAATGACCTAGTACAGCGCTGACGGTAGTAGATGGTAGACTTTAGCCTTCCACTCGAAATACTCTCATATGACTTCGGTCGTCAGTAGCCTCTACCACCGGGTAAGTTCTATTCGCTGCATACACGTGACAGGACGTTCGCCACAAAAGTGAGACGGCGAACATAAACGTCTGGCGCTTACGACCAGACTCATGGACTACTCACGGGTCTAGTGAGAGAGAGTAGCCGGGAAATCCTGATCCCCCAGGCTTATAGGCTCCAGACACTGGAAGGAACAAATGATATATGAATCTTCAAGTATTGGTTTTGTAGGGATTTTTGTTTGATTGCGTGGAGGATTTCATCATGAGCTGACATCAGTTAGAGAAGCACTGGAAAACCCGGGAGTACTGGACAGCTGTTTCGTCCTAGTTTGGGACTCTTCACCAGTACACACCCACCGGGGTTCAAACCCAGGACCTTCTGGTTACAAGGCGAGCTCGTAGACCATTGAGCCACTGGGACTCGATCCAATGGTCCTTGAATTCTTACTTTTGCCAATCCACGACATAGTGCGACCATTTCGCAATATCTTCTTCGATGAGTTGCTGCCTCATTTTCAACCTGCTGTGCCCTACTGGTCACGGCTTCCCACTAGAACCCCAGGTCACTGCCTGAATAGGGCCAGTCGCTAGTGAGCATCAGATTAATTTTCAAGTATTGGTTTTGTAGGGAATTTTGTTTGATTGCATGGGGGATTTCATCATGAGCTGGCATTAGTTAGAGAACCAGTGGCTCAATGGTCTACGAGCTCGCCTTGTAACCAGAAGGTCCTGGGTTCGAACCCCGGTGGGTGCGTACTGCTTAAGGGTCCCAAACTGACTGACGAGACAGCTGTCCAGTACTTCCAGGTTTTCCAGTGGTTCTCTAACTGATGTCAGCTCATGATGAAATCCTCCATGCCATATACGAATCTGTTTTTATCACCAGAAACCATGAGAATTGTAGGTTCTTACTCACATCCACTACCTTGTAGGTCAGACAAGTCAACGGTTCCTTGGAGAAAGATGGTGAACAACCAGTTGTTTCGATCTCTGAGTGTCCGCTTAGTATTTAAACTATCACTCAAACTGAGAGGATTTCTGTGATGTGTATCTCTAGGTGCCCATTATGTTTGGTACATCAAGGTTTATGTCTGAATAAGTAATAAACAAAATAACACCGTGCGGAGTAAATACATTTAAACAAAAGAGGCCTTCAAGTGTGTAAGCTTTGAAGTTTCCTTACCAGTGTGTGGCGTTCATTCGTTTGCGAGATGAGATTGTTAGCCTTACGCCCAAGCTTCTCTCTTTATTGGGCTTATTGCCGCGGTTAGCTAAGCGGGCTCGAGTCCCGGACCGCATATGGTGGAGGCATGGTTAACGAGTACTCTACCAATGAATTATCTAATATTTATATTATATTTGCTTACTTAATCATTTTTATTATTGTTATTATAGGCCTACAAAACGCACAGACACTTATTTCTGTCCATGGTGTGGACATGCTAGTATGCGTCGGATTCCAGTGACCCTGCACGAAGATGGCCAGTTAGAATTCCATTTCGCAAGAAAATTTGTGCCTAGATTACGTGGCTTGAAAGTAAGTCATATATTTCTCTATCTTATCTTAGCTAATCCTCTTCTTTTTTTTCTCCTTCTCCTCTTTATAGCAACCTATACGACTTCCCAAGGGTGGAAAACATGCCGATGAACCAATCTATTGTGCAGATCAACGTCTACCTGATCGGCGACCAGCTCGTCCTAAAAATGCAAAAGTTGTCCCTGTCGCTACAAATGGTCTCCTAGGACTTGAAGATGATGAATTGTCGAAAGTATTAGAATTCCAGTGCGATTTGAACAGTGCATCCACAGTATTCCCGTTGAATGATGTCACTAGTCGATCTGCACTACACGGGATTCGATCAGATCATCAAATACCGAGTAGAGCATTTCTACAAGGCAGTCGTCCAGAGCATGGATTGAAACCAACTAGAGGAAAAGCGCATATTTCTAGACCACGGACAGGGAATAAAAAGAAGCGTAAATAATGCGGCTGATGATGACGATGACGGCTTTTCTCTTCTCTTCTCCTCTGTACGTATCTAATTTATCTAATTAATAAAAAATACATTTATATTATAATGGCTGGCTTTATTCCAAAACAGTACTATGTGATACGCACAGTCTGTGTGTGTGGAATTTTCCGCATTTAGTCCAATATTATTGTATTTAATTCACTCGACAAATATTTCAAAAATGGTTATATTACAGGATTAATAATAGCAGGTGTTTCCGTATTCGCAGGACTGGAATACATTGACTCCTAGCTAAGAAATAGGGAGTGAAGTCATTATTGAGCGTGTTGATCATTTCACTTCACTTATTTGGGAAGCTGTATCAGCCAACGCCAACGGGTTGATCGCTGACGAAATCTCAACACGGATGCAGAAGGCTCGTTTCGCATGTGCCAGTTTACGCTGTCTCTGGCCTAGACGTGATATTCGGTTAGCTATCGACCAAAGCGCGGATGTACTGCGCTCAGCAGTCCGCTCCGTCCTCCTTTATGGCTGTGAGACCTGACTATTGAAAGTGGAAGACATGAAAAGGCTGGCTAGCTGTCTTTGATCATGGGTGTCTGCATTCTATCTCCCATGTGAAGTGGTATAATCGGGTAAGCAATACTGAGGTTAGGCATAGAGTGCTAAGTAGAGGGGGGAAATGAATCGATGAGGTTGGGAAGTTACACCGATTGAGATGGTTAGGACATGTGTTACGCATTCATGCCTAACCATCGCCTTTGTCGACAACGGGCGATGATGTTAGCTGACATAGGGTCAGGTTGGAAAAGAGCAGGTGGTGGTCGAACCAAAATTTGGCTTCATCTATCAATGAAATCGACAACAGTTACTTTAAACCAGCCACGTAGGAAGGTGTAGACTTCCTGACCGGTTGGGGTCCTCGGGACGGAAGAAACCAATGATGGCTGGAGATAATCAGTGATATGGCTGGCTGGCGCAGATGCATCCATTCCTTGTGACTTATAATATCCAATGGAACTAAATTGTTCTTCGTTATTACTATGCTTTTTGCCTCATATCTCTTTCTACTGTCTCTATTTTGAATTTCTTCTACTTTGTTCCTTTGTTTTGTGTGCTACATGGAGAAAGAGTGGCAACTGGAACTGCTGCACATCGATGGAAAGATCTATGTTGAAATCAGACAGAAAGACAGAGACAAGATAAATACAAATATCGTCGTCAGATATCATCTATCAGTCGTAAACTGAGTTATTAGTTTCAAGTTTATTCACGGATCGGCGTCAGCCTGGAGAACAATTGAAAACTATTAGGGAATGGCTGTTTCGTCCTAGTTGGGACTCTGATATATAGCTATGCACATTCATCTACCAGGGTTCGAATCCAGGACTTCCCGAATACAAGGCACTGAGACCAGACCTAATAGCTCATGAATTCCAACTTCTACCAATTCGTAATAATTGGCGTCACGACCACCAGCCAATTTTTATATCATTGGAGAGTGTTTGTCCTCAGTCCCGATCGGGTGGACCCCACTACTGGTCACTACCTCTCACTAGTACTCCAGTCCACTTCGCTCTGTAGCTGGTCGTAACTAGAGAGCATCAGATTAATTTTAAAAAGTTTTCACGGATTTGACTTGTTCGAAATTTAACCACGAACTGATGCCATTTAGGGAGCCGCTGGAAACGAAAGAGTACTGGAGAATTGTTTTGTCCCAGTTCTGGACTCTTCGGGTGTATGCACCCACCGGGGTTAGAGTACAGGACATCCTGGCTACAAAGTAAGCTCATAGACCACTAATCAGCCACTGGGACACTTATTCAATGGATAACCCAATTCGTGATGTATGTGGCACGACTACAAGCCAGTGTCATCGGCGAGTATTTGTCTTCATACCCGATTTGGCGGGTGACGAAACAGCTATCTGTTCAGTACTCCTAGGTTTTCCAACGGTTCTGTAACCGATGTCAGCTAGCTAGCTAATGATGAGGTCCTGTGACCGCTGAAATCCCAGCAAACCGACACTTACTTGCATATTTGTATACCTTTTGAAATGCATGAAGACTAGAGTTATATATACATGACTAGATTTCCAGAAAAAAAGGAGAACATTGGCGTGAAAAAATATTTTATTAAATAAATTAAAGGTACTGTACATAGATAGATGGTATTATAGAATTAGCTTGTTCCAACCCTCACAGATTGTTGTCTATATAGCAGTGCCTCTTTCAAGATTTTGTTTAATTTCAGCCGTGTATTTACCATAATGTCTTTCCAATAACTCGTTATATCGTTTATTACGTTCATTAATATAGTCAATATCCGCGTCTGCATCAAATGGACGTCTTCGACTGTAGGCTGGACGTTTAGCACCTTGTTCAATAATTTGTTTCGCTAGACGTTCCACTGCTTCCGGTGGATCTTTACGATCTGTCAATCCGATTGTATCAGCAGTTGGGAAGGCTAATTCTCCTCTGAAAAGACAAAAAATTAATTAGTGATAATGGAATGTTAGATAAGGAATTTAGATAAGTGCCAGCTTTTGTAAAGCTACTGCAATATCGGTATACACCATGTGAAAATTATTTAATTTGAATAAAGCAAGAACAACAGTGATTTGTACAGAATAAAATGGTACCATCATTATTTATTTTGTTGGCTTCTCATCAGCTCACCTGCTTACAGGCCACAGTCATTATTAAGGACATCTACAGAAACAAGTTTAACATACTTGCACAGAGTTCATTTTAAACAAAAATCAATCAATATATGCATACAGTAATAATAATATATATTATATTCAACACTATACCGAACAATAATGATCATTCACAATGGAAACTTTCGGCATTATGTATTCAGATGAAAATATCCAGTTACCTAGCAGGCCAAAGAAAGACTGATAACCGCTTCTTTGTGAACGCACAAATCAGGTTTCAGGCACTTGATGGAGATGGCTTCAGCAAACTTGAGGAGAATTGAACTCTTTTTCGCCTATTGATAATTTTGAACGACTTTTCGACGTCCATCTCTTGACCCGTGTCAAGGAGATGCCTGGCGATGGCATTGTTTAAAGCATTTGTTCCTTTTAGATATAGGCTTTTTAGTAAATGTTCAGAAAATCGTAGATACGCCCTTCTTTCTGTTCTTCCAATGTAACTGCTCCCGCAGATACATGTAAATTTGTATATACAGTTGGAGTTGTTAACATGAGAAGGATATCTATCGATTTTTGATTGCACCAAAGAGAAAGTTGTCTGATAGACAAGGATAAGCTTAGATGCAAGATAGGCATTGGCTAGTGAAGTACTCAGTCTTCTGTTGACCATTGTTGCGATGTGGCTTTTTCTCCACTGTGATTTGTTTTACATTTGAGACTTCAGATCTTCCGTACTTGTTGATGAACCTTTGAGGGTACCCATTGGCTCTTAAACATCTAATCGAGAAACAAAAATTCTTCCTCTAATTTCCCTATAGAGCATATTCTCCTCACTCTATAGTACAGAGTTATGACTAGTCCGCGTTTGTTAAAATTGTTTCTGTAGATGTACTACTTAATAATGACTTTGGCCTGTAAGCAGCTGAGCCGATCAGAAGGCAACGTAATCAACAATGATGGTACCACTTTATTCTACAAAAACTGCTGTTATTCTTGTTTTATTCTAATTTCTGATCATTAAGTCGTAGATAACATATTCATAATTTGAAGTATCAAATCTATGTGGATGTTTTTGACTTTATACGTAAACAATCTAGAGACGTCCACGAAAAGAAGGGAATACCTTGAAAGTGTATATAACAACTGAATCAATGTTGACAGCTTTGTCCTCTCACTTGTCATGTCTCCCATTTTGATAATAAGCAACAGTCTCATTTTTGTTTTGAGGAACAATTGTAGCGACTGAAACCGCCGACGTGTTATGGTTTGAAAGCAGGGAACCAATCTTGACATTCTATTGCATAACTAACTAAAACTACCTTGAGTGGTACTCACAGTGACTAAAACAAGACAGTCATTTGCTATAAAACCTGCCATCGTTTATTTTCATTATTATTCCCTTGGGTTCCAAGTGGAACAAAGGGCTTCAAAAGCACGTCTGCACTTTGTTCTATTCTCTGCTGCCTTCTTCATCTGGCTGGTTCCACAACTGCCCATAATCCGTCAACTCCTCTTCTTTTCACCGCATTCCGTAGGCGTTGTGTTAATACTTCACAGATGTTATCCCCGAGGAAATGAAGTTGTATAAGAATACAGCCTTTTTCGGAACTGTTGGTTGGTACTTTGGCCCGCCTTAACTTTTGATTCATATTCATATCGGTTAATTTTTCTGAATCTGTCTGTCTGGATTCAACATAGAACTTGGCAACGAAGTGCAGCAGTTCGAGTTGCCACGTTCCAAATACCACACAAAGGTAGACAAGAAAATGAGAGAAGAGAATCAATAGTTTTGACAAGTATAGGAGTGAAACAGAATGAGTAATGGTAGAAAGGAATATGAAAGATTATAGAGACTGAATACATCTGCGTAAGCCATTGACTACGATTTTGAGCCATGTCACCTAGTGTCTCCAGTCATTGATTCTTAGAGTCCCGAGGGCGGGCCCCAACCCGGAAGTCTGCACCTCCCTACCTGACTGACTCAGTTTAACTGTCAAGGATTTCATGGATTGATGCCATGTTTTTGTTTGGCCACCAATTACTCTTTTCCAACCTGCACCTATATCAGCTAGTAATGCCCATCGGGAGGGGGAGGCGATGCTTAGGCATGCACAGCACGTGACCTAGCCATCTCAATCTATGTAACTTTATAGCCTCGTCGACTGATTTTTCATTTTTTTTTCTGGATAACCGGCGTTGTCACTCAGCAACTGTTTAATAATAATATTAAGCTCTTCATTAAGACATTCATAAGAGTAGATTGTTCTTGCTCTGTGACGGATCGAGCACTTTATTAGACTGCGTTTATATTTCAAAGGCATGAAGCTGAAAAAATTAGTATACTGACTAGGTGATGTAGGTTTTCTATACGTACATCCTCTTGTTGTGCAGTCCTCTTTTTTGATAATAAGGACGTCTAGAGTCTTTTTCTTTCTTAATAGTAAACTTTATTGCAGGATGAACATCGTTAAATTTACCAATAAGGATGTTCTTTGCATCATCCCCATTTTTCATAATCAAAAATGCATCATTCACGTACCGACAGCAGAATTCTCGTTCATCAATTACATCTTTCAAAGGCCCATTCTTTTACTAAACAAATCGATAATACATTCAAGTGTTGGTTTGTAGGGATTTGATTGATTGGTTACAGGATTTCACCATGAGCTGACATTGATTAGAGAACCATTGGATGAAGCATGATGAAATCCTGTAACCAATCAATCAAAACCCTAACAAGCCAATACTTGAATATCGATGAGATGCTCACTAGCGGCTGTCCCTATTCAGGTAGGGGTAGTTACCAGGGTTCTAGTGAGAAGTCGTGACAAGTAGGTTGCAGCACTTCGAGTATGAAGACAAATACTCGCCGAAGACATTGGCTAGCGGTAGCGCTATGTCATGAAATGGCAGAATTTAGAATTCATGGGCTGGTTGTTGTATCGGGTTCCAGTGGCTTAGTGGTCTACGAGCTCACTAGCCTTGTAACCAAATGGCCCTGGGCTCGAGCCCTGGCGTACTGTTGAAACAGAGTCCCGAACTAGGACGCAACAGGTGTCTAGCACTTTCTGCGGCTGGTTTTCCAATGATTCCCTAACCGATTTCAGCTCATGATGTGAAATCCTCTAACCAATTATTCAAATCCCTACAAACCAATACTTGAACAACATATTTCACAGTTTAAGAAGAAGTACCAAAATACATCAACAAAATGAAGGAGGGGTAATAGGATCGCTCATCTCACCAATAATAGCTGACTTATTCATGGATTTTGGGGAAGAAAATACACCTGAACATACATAATACCATCAATAAAATCTTGATGAAGATGTGTAGACGACACGTGAGTAATAATGAGAAAGAGTGATACTGAGAAATTCATCTCACAACACATAAACAACAGTCATGTAGACTCAGTATGGAAATTCACTATGGAAATAGAGGATGAAATTGAGGAACAACCTATGCTCTAGCTAGACTGCAAAGTACAAAATGTAACAGATGGCAGTCCAAAAAAACGACGATATACTGATAGGAAAACTACACATTCTGGGAGGTTCCTTGACTAACTAACACTCAGCTCATCCACTCAGAGTAAATCGAAGGTTTAATACAACAACACTAGATCACTGATGAAAAGAAATAATTGGCTTATTGAAAAAGCTATTCGAAAACAACTACTCAAAAGAATTTTTCCGAGATATTACAAAGAAGCATAACCGGAGGGTGAAAACAGACAATGCCAACGAAGAGGATGGTGAAAGACAGTGGCAACAGCATACGAAAAGGGTTTATCAGAGGTGGAATTCAAATTATTATGTCATTATTGTTTCCTTTAATTCCTAGAGGAACATAGGGTTTCAGCCGTGCGTCCTCATTGCGTTCGGTTCTCTGACAACGTTTTCACCACCTGGCTCCAAGTCTGCCCATACGCTTTCATATCCTCTTCACATCACCTCCTCCAAGTCACCCTCGGACAACCAACTCGCTGCTTCCTTTTCCGGGTTCCACTCGAGCAATGGCTTGTCTGGTGATGTCACTTGATAGTTTCCTCAGAGTATGGCCAATCCATCTCCATTTCTTCCTGCCTATTTCTTTCACAATCGGTTCCTGCTGTGTTGGTTCGCTTCCAGAGATCTCTATTGCTGATCTTTTCTGGCCGGCCATCTGATCTTGAGTATTGAGCGAAGACAACTGTTAATGTAGTTTGTTTGAGATGCTCTTTATGACGCGCTGGCCAAGTCTCTGATCCGTATAGTAGCACTGACTGACTTCATATTGGAGTTGAAAATCCGGATCTTATTTTTCATGCTGAGTGCTGTTGACCTCCATACAGACTTGAGAGTAGTGAAAGCTTGTCTTGCTTTGATATCCTCGTCAGTTCCGCCTGTAGTTGAAACGATGCTTCCCAGGTAGGTAAAGGAGGTTGTTTCTTTCAGGTTCCTTCCGTGGAATTCAAAGAAACCAACGAATTCAATTAACCAGAAATAAAATGATTCAACTATAAAAGATCCACTAACAATGATAGATTCAAAATCCCACTGGTGTCTGGTGACTAGCAGTGGAATCCAGGACAATGCGCATTTCGTCCTATTTGGGACTCGTCTCTCTTAGCTGGATGTACCTGCATTTCCCAGTGGGTGATGGTGATTTTCCCACCACTGAGGCTAGAACACAGTGCCCATAGTTTCAAACGCTAAAGCGTTATCCACTCTAGACCACTTGGGCAAAGAGAGCCACCGTTTCTTGTGCAACGGGTCATATTAATTATTTAGTTCCGTTCACAATCAATCGAGGGGAAAAATCTAAAATTCAATTAAATAAACATAATGAATAACTATAAAACCGTTACAAAAAACAGAAACAAAAAAGGAACACTTTCGTTTTATTAACTTACAATTTCTCCTTTTCTTTTTGATAAGCTGCCAAGTCTGGTTTAAGCTGTTTTGTCATCTTGAGGTATTTACGATGTGATGCATCAGCATAGGTTGAAAATCCTTCATCTGTATTCTTCTTTTTTCTACGTCTTGCTTCAAGACGATCAGCTATATCAGCGCTAACATCTAATGCACGTTCTCTTTCTGGATCAATATTCTTTTTAGCACATTCCATTTTGAAAACTTCATCTTCCTCTTCCCATTGTAATCGTCGTTGACGTGTTTCCCAATTGGATGGAAGTTTAGATCGTCTATCTTCTTCGACAACTTCAAGATGATTAGATTTTCGAGCTTCATTCTAAAAAAGTAATAATAATAAAAATTCAGGAGTAGTTATTATTATTATTATCTTGGGTTCCGAGTGGAACACGGACCACCTTCAACAACACATCTCGACTTTTTTCTATTTTCTGCTATCCTCTTCACCTGGGTTCACGATTGCCCATAATCTCTCATCTCTTCTGACACGCATGATCTCCTACATGTCACCCTCGCATCAACGAACCACTCATCGCCTCCCATTTGGATTCTACTCGAGCGGTGGCCTGGCGCGCGCGATGTCATTCGATGGTTTCCTCAATGTATACCCAATCTATCTCCGTCTTCTCCTACATATCTGTTGAGCGATCGGCTCTTGGGTGGTTTGTTCCCAGTCAGAGTTTCTTGTTACTTATTCTTTCTGACCATTTGATCTTCAGTATGGAGAAAACCAGCGAAGGTGTCAGCTGTTGATAAAAGTCTGCAACCCGTTGGAAATCCTTTTCGTGACACGCTGGTCAAGTTTCTGATCCGTATAGAAAGACCAACTTGACACTGGTGTTGAATGTGCGAATCTTGTTCCTTATGAGGAGTGTAGAAGGTTTCCAAAGTGGTTTCAAGTTGATGAAAGCGTATCTTGCCTTTTCAATTCTGGCTGACTGACTTTGACATGTTCACCCGTTCCGCCTGTGGTTGAAACAATGCTTCCCAGATAAGTGAAAGAGGCAACCTCTGTTTAATCTCTCCCGCTGATGGTGATTGCTGTTGTCTTCGTCACCTCCGTCTTCCCTATGTTCACCTGCAGTCCTGTTTTTGTTGCCTCTTCAGCCAGTTTGTTGGTTTTCGCCTGCAAGTCTTCTAGTTTATGAGACATTAGGAATACATCATCTGCGAAATCCAGATCTTCTAGAGTCTCCTCATCGGTCGTCCAGTGTATTCCTGTCTCCTCGCCCCCAACAGTCTGACACATAATCCAGTCCACCACAATTGAAAACAACATCGGTGACAGTAAACGGGCAGGCTTGTCTTACTCCTGTATTCACTTCGAACGCCTGGCAACACTAACCCTCTTTCCGTTTCAGGTACCCCAAGAATAAACCAACTTAAACAGTGTGGGCAGTCGGAAAGTAACAACCGTCCACACAGTTCCAAAAGAACACGAAGCCCTCCTAACCATCTCAAACTAAAAGTTAGGAATAGCAAAACTGGTTAATCTATATTAAATTCAGACAAAGCCTGAAGTGTTGTGACTTATTGGGCTAGGTGCTTGAATTTTGACCACTGGACTACAGGTCCGAAGCTTACACTCTACTTAGTATGGTTTGAGCAGATAATTAGTATCGCCAATCCCTCCCCCAACACACACAACACAACAGGTAGAGGACATTGTCAGCTGAATGGAAATACAAGTGATAATTGAGCAAACTTTCTATGTTCATGCAGATTTCGATTTCTCGTAAATTTAAAGTTATTTCGAAGAAACTAACGAATTAACACTTAAACTGCAAGTGGAATAATAATGATAATAATAATAATATAATTTGGTTAGAATAATGAAACGACACTAATCATTACAAACTTACCACTTTTAAATGAAGTTCTCTGAGTTTTTCTAAATGTTTAGATCGTTTGCTGACTTCATTGTTTGTAGACATTATCAATTAACTGGAAAGTCAGAGAAACGAAATGTCATCGAGGAAAAAGAATGAATGATATTTGATCGCTCTTCACTGTTCACTATATACAATCTAAATTACAAAAAGAAATGAATACTTAGTTGGTTTAGAAAAGTTTGTTTAATTAATGGTTGGAGGCAATCGGCAAGAAGCCCTGTTGGACCTAGGTTTCGTGCTAGTTGGCACTCTTCAGCAAGGCGTATCAGTATCCCTGAAAGAACTTATGTCCCTTCTGAGAATGGTGGTCACATTGCAAACTTGACTGATAGAATTCAGTCTGCACCAAAGATAGGACTAGACACATTACACTAGTTACTGAGTAGTGTCCAATCACAAGTGCTAGGTAGGAGGGGAAATTAATAGACGAGGTTGTGAAGTCACATCGATTGAGATGTGTTACGCATGCATCCCTAGCCATCCATCGCCTTCCTCGACAATGGGCAATGTTAGTTGACAGACAGGATGGATCAGGTTGGAAAAGGGTTAGCTGATCGTAGTCAAAACAAGACATGGCTTCATCAGTCAATGAAATCCACAACAGTCAGTTTAAGCCACGTAGGAAGGTGTAGACTGCCTGATTGGGGTCCTCGGGACGGTAAAAACCAATGACGGCTGGAGACAATCGGTGATACGGCTGGCTCAGAATCGTTCTTAATGGATGCCGCAGATGTATCCACTCATTGTAACTTATAATTTCCAATAAAACTATATGGTTCTTCCATATTATTATTCTTTTTGTCTCACATCTCTGTTGACTGTCTCTGTTTTACTTTTACTTTCTTCTCTTTCTTTGTGTGCTACATGGAGGGAGTGTGGCGACTCGAACTGCTGCACACCGGTGCAAAGTTCTATGTTGAAACCAGTCAGTCAGTGTTCAACGAAAAACGGTTGTTTAATGCTACTAGTTGAAAGAATAATTTCTGCAGATAAAGACTATACAATTTCATCATATAAGTCAACTTATATTCCCCTACTAGTTTATTACTGAAATATGTCCTATCGGAAGAGATTTGGTGAGACCTTTTAACTTTTACTTGCTTTAGTTTTACTACATTTCAAAATGGATCTTAGAACATCTTAAAACTATGCATGGACGCAACTAGTAGCTATATGTTTCTGGGTTATATTTCAGTGCAGAAATATTCGCATTAAGTACAATAACTGGGTGGAATTTAATTATGTTTAAGAAAGGTGTTTATAGTATTCTTATCGATAGTAACTCTTTGTGTACATGTAGGCGTATCTATCGTATGTACGCAAGCGCCTTTACATATAAATACATGACATGTAATTACATATAATAATAATAATAGCTTTATTCCAAACAGTATTTGTGGTACAGGTATGGAATTTTCAGCGTGCATTACAATATTGCATCTAATTACCTCATAAATTTTATAAGATTTTAAAAATAAAAAGCAACAACAACAAAAAGAAAAAGAGAAATAAAAGAAATAAAAAAGAACAGCATTGCATTCACATAATTAAACAATGCATCACAGGATATGAAATGTAAAATTAGTGTGTAATAGAATATGTGAGCAACAATATAATAGTAACAAAGAAAGGAGAACAAAAGCTAATGGGAAATATTTGTTAGAGTGCCGCAGTAAGTTGATCCTGTCATACCTAACAGTTTTCTCATCACATAACAGCTGTGCCAGATAAGGTATTGTGGAGTTTTTATACTTGGTAGTCCTGGCATATAGCCTCCTATAGTTGCTTCTAGTTCTACCAGATGAAATGCAAGGAGAGAGCTGCGTATAGAGAGGGTGTTCGGGGTCTGACAATATAGAATTCGCTAGTTTCTTACATGACATTATGTGTCTATCCACAATAGTGTTAACCAGTTGGTTTAACGAAATCCCACTTCCCCTACTAACAGCTTTTAGTGCCCTACGCAGCGAAGAAACGTAGAACTCTACACTGATGTTCAGCAGTTTGGGTCGCCACACTACATGTAGCACACAAGGCAAGTGAAGAAAGTAAATGCAAAATAGAGAGAGTAAACGGAGATGAGGCAAAAATAATAGTAATATTGAAGAATATAGTTTTCTTGGATATTATAAGTCACAAGGAGTGGACCCATCTGCACCAGTCAATGTGAACGATTTTCAGTCATATCAAAAATTGTCTCCAGACATTGGTATTGGTTCTTACCATCCCGAAGACCCCAACTAGGAAGCCAGTCTACATCTCACTACGTGGCTAGCTTAAACTAACTGTTGTGGATTTCACTGAGTGATGAAGCCATGTTTTCCCGACCGAAAGCTGCTACCTTGACGTGGTGGTCGGGCTTGAACACCGCAATGACCCAACAAGCTATACTGGCTGGAACTTATGTTCCTGCAGGTCTTACCATGCCAGAAAGGTTGTTTGGATAGCGGTTAGACTAAAAGCAGTTACCCAATCCAATCCTATGACTTCAAACAAATCACAAAATATCATGCCGGATCGGTCGGGGCCCGGATTAACAACGACCGCGCTTTCTGCTGCCGTGTCACAGGGCAGAAGTGATAAATACGCTACTGAGACACACCAAATAAAAAACAACAAACAAAAACAGGCCGTGTGTGACCGGCCTCAAGCAGTTGTCCCCTGGGCTCTGCGGTCACGCAACCAACTTCCACGGTGTGGGCAGCCGGGAAGTAACAATCGCCCTCACAACCCGAAGAGCACGCGAAACCTCTCTATTCCTCACTCACCTTTGTCTTCATCTTCATCTCTATTATCTTACCTTCCTTCTACTAATGCAACTCCTCTACTTAATGGCTCTTCACTTCCTCTTCACTCTGTGTGCACTGATAACGATGGAAGCCAAAAAGCCACCATCGATAGTCTCCTAAAGCCACGTCACCAATTTCATATAGGGGCATTTAATGTTAGGACACTTTGCCAAATAGGACAACAGGCATCACTAGCCAAGACTCTGGCATCCCGAGCCATTGATGTATGTTGTGTTTCAGAAACACGCATACAGGACCCAAGTGTGGTTATTCACCTAACCCCACCTGGCCAACAGGATGAATCTGCAAAATTCACCTTGAGGGTGTCAGGAGATGAGACGGCTAGCTCACGAGGATTAGCTGGTGTTGGGATAGCTCTGAGTACTAGGGCAGAAAAGACACTACTTGACTGGATCCCGGTAGATAGCCGAATGTGTGCTGTCCGTCTGAACGGATCAGTGAAAAGGAGAAAGGACTGCACTACTCGCCGATGCCTTTTCGTAATCTCCGCCTACGCCCCCACTGACTGCAGTTCGGATGAAACGAAGGATGAGTTCTACCAAAAGCTGTCTAGTTTGCTGCGAAAGGCTAAACGCTCAGATATAGTCGTTTTAGCTGGTGACTTTAATGCTCAAGTGGGGAAATTGTGTCAATCTGAGAAGAATGTCGGTGGCACATACGGAATTCCGTGCCAGCGAACCGACAACGGTGACCGTCTCCTACAGTTCTGTTCAGATAATCACTTGTTTCTTGTAAGCACTAACTTCAAACACAAGGAGAGACACTGTTTGACCTGGCGACCTCCATCATCAAACCAACGCTGGACACAAATAGACCACATAGCAATAAGCTATCGTTGGCGTGGGTCGGTAGGGGATTGTCGCTCCTTCTGGAACACGTGTGTAGATACCGATCACGCACTGGTCCGCGCTCGTGTGTGCTTACGACTGAACGGACGTAGGAAACAGCTGGCGGTAAACCCATCACGTCCCCAGCTCGATCAGGAAACTAAGTCCCTATTTGAGGAAGAACTAGCTAAACACATATCTGAGTTCGACAGCTGCGCTCACCCTGAAGAAGCCTGGAAAAATATTCAGTCAGCCATAGATACAGCTGTAAAAGCTGTGAATAAGGTAAATCCAAAGGTGAGTAAAAACCATTGGATTTCGACTGCCTCATCCGAACTGATAGATGCTAGAAGACTTATTCCGGCGAGCTCCGAATTCAATGAGGAGCGAAAGCTGCACAAAAGGAAACTTACGAAAAGTCTCCGCAAGGACCGTGAACAGTGGTGGTTGACAAAGGCGAAAGAGATGGAAAAAGCATCGGCGATAGGCAACACTAGGCAACTCTTTAGACTCATCAGGGAAACGGGTGGGAGAAGGCAAATCATAAGTGAGACTATTTGTGAGAAAAATGGCTCCTTAATTAGCTCTCAGGATAGACGCCTCGAACGCTGGAAAGAACACTTCGAGGAACAGTTTAACTTGCCTACAGCCACACTGAGCCTCCCCGCCATCCAGCACACCCCCGAATGGGACATAGACACTGGCCCGCCGTCTGTAAGTGAGGTCACCAAAGCTATCTGTAATTTGAAACGAGGCAAAGCGGCAGGACCCGACGGAATTATTCCGGAGGTGTTTAAATATGGGGGTGACATACTAGTATATAGTTTAACTAAGGTACTAGGTAACGTCTGGGAATCAGAGACGGTTCCATCAGACTGGGGTAAGTCACTTATCATACCAGTATTCAAGAAGGGAGATAAGTCCTCATGTGATAATCATAGAGGAATCAGCCTAACGAACATAGTCTCTAAAATCCTAGGCTCAGTAATCATGAACAGACTAAGCCGAACTCGGGAGGAACAAACGAGGGAAAATCAAGCGGGCTTTAGGCCAGGTAGAGGGTGCATAGATCATATCTTCACTCTCCAACAGATCCTAGAACATAGACACACTTTTAGGCGTCCAACAATTGCCATATTTCTTGACTTGAAGGCGGCCTTCGACTCCGTGGATCGAAAGGTACTATGGCAATGTTTGACTGTGAAGGGAGTGCCAAGAAAGTACATTGCACTAATCAAGGCACTCTACTCAAACTCACGTAGCTGTGTAAGGGCTTATGGGGAATTGTCATCTGAATTGATAACAACCAGTGGTGTCCGTCAGGGATGTCCACTTTCCCCTTTTCTGTTTAACTTCATCATAGATATGCTAATGGAAGTATCCTTAACTGAACTTAACGACTTAGGAATCGACTTGTTACCAGGGAATAGTCTTATGGACTTAGAATACGCAGACGACATAGTCCTGTTAGGGGAGGACGCTGACAAAATGCAGAGTCTTCTGAACACCTTGAGCAGCAATCTTCGTATGTTTGGCATGCGATTCGCCCCTGTGAAATGTAAGATGCTGCTACAGGACTGGACTACGTCAACTCCTAGCTTAGTGATAGGGAGTGAAGTGATAGAACATGTTGACCACTTCACCTATTTGGGAAGTTGTATCAGCACCAACGGATTGATTGGTGACGAAATCACAGCACGGATCCAGAAAGCTCGGGCTACTTTCGCTAACTTACACCGTCTCTGGCGTAGGCGTGACATCCGACTATCAACCAAGGGACGTGTGTACTGCTCAGCAGTTCGCTCCGTCCTTCTCTATGGCGGTGAGACGTGGCCATTGAGAGCGGAAGACATGAAGAGATTGTCTGTTTTTGACCACAGATGTTTACGATCTCTTTCTCGCGTTAGGTGGCATAATAAGGTAAGTAATGTTGACGTTAGGCGTAGAGTGTTGGGCAAAGAGGGAAAATCAATCGAAGAGGCTATAAAGTTACATAGATTGATATGGTTAGGTCACGTGCTGCGCATGCCTAGCCATCGCCTCCCCCGACGGGCATTACTAGCTGATATAGGTGCAGGTTGGAAAAGAGTAAGTGGTGGCCAAACAAAAACATGGCATCAATCCATGAAATCCCTGACAGTTAAACTGAGTCAGGTAGGGAGATGCAGACTTCCGGGTTGGGGCCCTCGGGACTCTAAGAATCAATGGCTGGAGACAATAGGTGACATGGCTCAAAATCGTTGTCAATGGCGCAGATGTATTCAGTCTCTTTAACCTTCATATTCCTTTCTACCATTACTCATTCTGTTTCACTCTTATACTTATCTAAATTCTATTGATTCTCTTCTCTCATTTTCCTGTCTACCTTTGTGTGCTATTTGGAACGTGGCAACTCGAACTGCTGCACTTCGGTGCCAAGTTCTATGTTGAATCCAGCAGCAGCAGCAGAAGCCATGTTTTGCTTTGACCACCACTAGCTAACTCCTTCCCAACCTCATCCATCCTATGTCAGCTAACATTGCCTATTGTTGAAGAAGGAGATTGATAGTAAGAAATGCGTGCGTAACACGTCCTAACCATTTCAATCGGTGTAACTTCACTACGTCGTCGATTGATTTCCCCTCCCTCCTTAGCTAGCACTCAATTGACGTATAACCTCAATATTGTTCACCTTATTCCACCACCTAACTCGGGAGATAGATCGCAGGCATCTATGATCAAAGACAGCTAGCCAGCTTTTTCATGTCTTCCACTTTCAATACAAGATACGAAAGATATATTACATATAACAGCCTATCACTATTCTAACATACGAGTATTGTCACAGATTGTTCAGGGTAACTTGGCAAGTCATCAGTCTAGACCATCACCTTTTAGTTTTTCCCGGAATAAGGCAGTGACACGAACACGTTTGTCACTTTTCCTCTAGCTCAAAGACACTGAAGTGGAATCAGTTTCTGAAAAAATATCCAGGCGGCTATACACTATTTTGTTTAAAACGCCATTTAACATCCATATTTTGTTTCTTATACATTCCTGAACCAATCAACAGAATTTCTAAGCCTTTTCCTGTGCCCTGTAAATCTCTGGTGTGACTCAGAGTGTGGCAGATGTAACCTACGAGATAGCTTTCATTCATCAGACAGTTCATCGTCACGTAAATACTCCCAGGTCTCACGAAGCATTGAATTATTCAGAATGACACTGAAAGACGTAATAACCCTCTCTCTCTCCCACAGACCTTCTGCTTGTATCAAACACCCAAATTAAATCAGCTCTCCGTCATATACGAGAATACTTCGTTTAGGCGAAACGATTCGGCAGCAGGAATGACACCAGCTTTTCAAGACAACGTTTGTAACAACTTATCTGATTACGTCACAAGCTTACAGGATCAGGATCTTTGTGTGATGAAAGCCATTGTGTCTGCTACTTCACATTCGGTTTGTGTTAGAGCCTTTTGGTAAGTGGTGATTTCGAGTTTGAAAAATGCCTCTGTAGACTGGTTTCAACTTGAAATGACTGCATTTTTCACAGCTCACAGGTTGGAGTGCGAATGCGAAATTATATCCTAATAGTGGTGTTGACGTAGTTAATGTTCAGTAAGCTTAGTAGTCAATATTATCCCACTGACTTAGGAAGTCGTTAGCGTTGGGCGCAATTCCTCTTTCTAGAATTTAACTTTTTTCTGAAATAACATAAATTATCGTTGAATTAAGCGTGGTGCAATTATGAGAAATTGACGGTGCTTTCCTCCTGTGCGACCTATCACAGATAATTGCATATGCATGTAACTGCAGGTACATATAAAGGAACTAAAAACCCAGTCCACCACGGTGTAATTTCCCTTGAAAACACTAAAAACCCCGATGACCGAACGATTAAACTACTTTTTGTCACTCAAATATTCATTACACTTGCATAGTCACTTTGAATATATATATATATATACTTACTAGACATACTTAGATTAATGGTTTCGAGTACTTGTTGCGCAGGTAGATAAATTTTAATGTAAAAAGCTGACTTGTGTAAAACAAGGTTTGATAAAGTGGCTATGGATACTAACATACTTGATATAAACTCTTGCGTAAATACATGGAATCAAAAAACTGTCGACGTACCGTGTCTTTCGAAAGAGACGCAATGTTCGATATCCAATATGGTTTTTACGAGCTAGTTTCAGATTATAAGGATAGAAGGCTCTTGTTGCCTATGTTAATCCTCGCGATATATATCTCTGCAGAGATCCAGTTTCTCTTTGAAAGCGTTCACCGATGGAGCTGTTACTACTGAATCAGGTAAGGAGTTCCGGTCGTTGACCTAAATCAGTTTGATTTCTTTGTGCTCCCGTCTTGTTTGTGAGGTGAAATTCTCTGGTCTTCGGTAAAATACTGCGTAGTTCATCCCGCCACTCACTTGTCGTAGCTTTGGTTGACTCCATAAGGAGTGGTGCTGCGATTAAATATACGTAGTTTATAGTATACGGTGTGTTAATACAGTGTTCCTACTGTGAATCGAGTTGATCCTTTCACCATTTAGTCCTCCGGTGTCGTTGATAAAAGGAAAGAGATAATAAAAGCAACAGATATAATTAGTGTAGGTTTTACAGACTAAACGACAAAAAGAAACAAGGAATCGTAAAAGCAGACAGCTAATGAAATGAAATCAATAATAACAGTGTTTTGACGTAGTGTTTGAAGTAGTCAGGGGAGTAAGCAAAAGAGAATGTGAAGAAGTAAAACGATTAGTTTAGATGTCCACCCATTAATAGTGTATGAGATAGGCCGTTTAAACGCAGTCCTTGTGTCGTTGCGCGACTGTCCATCCTTCGGTTAAAGCTGTCCATGGACGGTGCCATAGCTGCATTTGCCGGTAAGAAGTTCCAGGAACAACAAACTCGCAGTGAAAAGAAGTGAGAGCGCACTTGAGTCCTTGCCCTCAGCATAGCCACCCTCCGGGGATTTCCAGTGGGAAGTCCATACGTAATTAATAGCAGAACCCCTCTGATTAGGGGATTCTGGTCATTTGTAGTCTTAGGCAGTAATCAGTCCCCGCCTAAGCTGACGGTA